ATCAAAAACAGAAAATTGTATCTTTTCTGTTTTGTTTTGACCTTTTTGGAAGAAGCAATTGTTTTCAACCCCCAACCCCACACACTCAATAATTCATCACCACTTCTCAATCAATCCACATTTCATCTCTTGTCATGGCACAGCAGTGATGAAGTCATCATGCACACATTACCTGGCTATCACAAACCCATGTTTCCCAATGAGACGTTTGTTTTGCACAACTTGGGGAAACCTATTCAACTAATGATATAACCAGGATTTCAGCCAGCACTGTTTGGAAAAGGGAATGTTTTGTAAAAAAAATTGTAGATTTCCCCATTTTTCTTCTTCATTTGCTCTGGGTATCAGTCTGAGCCCTCTCATCTTTGTAAGACTTTACCTGTCTCTGCAGTACATAGTATTTAAAGTGTTTGTTGAAGTTGTTGCAGTCATTTTGAGATTTCTTAATAAGTACCTTTGCAAATAAGAAGGATTTTATGCCTACCTTTTAGTTGTTGTAATAAGCTGGACTGACCTATTATGTATTTAGGTAGATTTCATTCTTTATATCTGTGGCGTGAAGTCTAGTTTAATGAGCTACAATTTTCTTTCACCCATCACTCAGGCTTGGCTGCAGAGCTCAATTAGCAGGACTTAGAGAGCTTTTTGAAATGGGTTTATTTAAGCAGCCATTGACACTATGAAAACACCACAATGGAGGGGTGTTGCTGAATTTAAATCAGAACAGATCAAACTGTGCAAAGCTCTTACATGCTCAGATCCCATAAGCATCCTTACAGACAATATAGAATTTTCCATATCTGCATACAGAACTTTAAAGCCTGTATTCTGTTTTACATAAGCATGTGAATCAGGCTCAGAATGCAACACCTGCTTCATTTGTTCTTCATCCTATATAACCACAAACTGCATACGGTATTTTTGAAGTAACGTTTGTTTTGTTACTTAAAAAAAATGTCTGTGTCCAGGCTGCTCATTTTAAAATGTCAGGACTCAGGACTTTTGAGAAGAATGTTAATGTATTTAGTAGTGTGTATGGTATGTATCCATTTAGAAGTCCCAATAAACGGAATAAAGACATTTTCTGTAAAAATAGATCTTTCAATGACATCAATACTTGCATTAAAATATAAATATAGATAAACAATTTAAAAGCAGGGATTTATGATGGCAATAATTGTGCTTTGTGGGAAATGAGAATTCTTGGTGTCATTTTGGTTGCTCTGTTGCAATTTTAAGCTTGTATTGGAAAAGTTACAATGTTTTATTTTCACTTATGAAATACTAACTGGCAAATATCCGCTTTGTCTGCATCGGGAGTTCACGTATATATATATATTTCCTCACATCTAAATCATTGCAATGCATTAACCAGCAAGAGTTTCTGGTAAAGTTTTAAATCAGCTCCAGTTTGTGAAGAAACCAGTAGCTTCAATCTTCAAAACATGTCCAGTCCTGAACAGAAGATTACACCACTTCACAGTGAAATATAAGGATCATTATAAAAATATAGGCTTAAGGCCTTGATTAGCTGAAGTATTTACTGCATGAGCACATTCCTGCTCACCACGTAAGATCCAGTGATGACATGTGTTTTATACTATGTAAAACGAGCCTTCACTGCAAGAGTGGCAGTTTTATAATGCCAACCATACTGTACATCCCAACTACAGTATATGCTTCCCAGAACAATTAAAGACCTTAGGACTGTGTGCATTTGTTAACCTTTTTTCAAAGATACCCTTTTAAAATATGTAACTAATTAATTTAATCTTCTGAGGCTTTGTATTTTATCCATGTATGTTTTTGTTTGTCTTTGTGTTTTGTGTTTTAGAAATACAACGTCTTTTTATTTATTCTCATAGTCAAGGCACATCAGAACCATAGGTAAGCCTTTCTCTAAACTACCTGTAGAAAGATTTAGACTAGGATTGTACAGAAGATGTTAAACATCTGAAGAAACTGTTCTTGCTGTTCATGCAGTGGGGGAGTTTGTGGGCGTCAGCTCAGCTCAGTGGTGTAAAACTGTGCTGAGGTGAGGGGAGGGGAGAGGCACCTCTGTTCACAGGCTGTGAGCTTCAAAACCAAAACACGACGATGCTCCACAGCCCGCCCAGGCCATTGGCGCTAATTAAACCCAACCAGCAGGGATTTCTGTTTCAGAGCATTCACAGTTTTGTTTTGTGGAACCAGTCAAGGCCTCTCACTGGATGTGAGATGAGATGCTTCTGGAACCTGCAAGAAAAAAAGAATAATCAATTTGTATCCTTTTACTGTTTTTTTTTTTCGTTGAGAGAGAATGAGTGAGAGAGAATGCACACTTTCCTTCGGTTGCTGCTTGAATATCCTCAGTGATTTAATGAGCTCTGTGCCTAGCACCAGTCCCGTTTATGTGGAGAAGGTGTGATTGCTTCGAAAGCAGTAAATCACAGCTGCAGTGTGTAGGGAGCCAGCACTACCACTCGTGGTAGAAGTGGCCCTCGGTTTCTTTCTTGCCAGGGTTGTCAGTCTCTCTCCTTGTTTTACAATAAAATCCGTCTGTGACATTTCATGAGGGGAGAACAGCTAGACAGGGTAAACTTTTGCCTTTCCCATGACCTTTAGTATTTACAATTAATTAAATGTGCATATTAAAATTTCCACCGGCTCCTAATTGCTTCTAGGCGACTACACTGCTTTTCTGCATTAGAAGTGTTTTCTCCTGACCGACAGGATGGTTTTTCTTTCACTGTGGCTGACAGTATTCTGAGCTGCGCTCTCCGCTGGAGGAGCCTCAGTTTGCCTCAGAGCCGCAGTATGAGCTGACAGAGAGCAGCAGAGGCTGGAAGCTCACTCTGAGCATTTCCTGAGAGCAGGGCCAGCAGTCCTAGAAAGCCATGATGCTACAGGCTTCACGGGGAGATTTAATTGGTAATTAATTGGATGCTACCTTAATGTAGTCAAAGCTCAGCTTGAACAGTCAGAAAAAGAGTTTAGTGCTCCCCATGAGAGAGCATGTTCATTGATAATCTTCTGAAGTAGCTTCTCATTTCTATGAGGAAGTATACATTACTGTAAACCCTTGTTTATTAGTATTGTTTTTACCTTTGTATCATTGACATTACTGATATTATTGAGAAAGCTTTGTTTTATTTTTCAGAATGCTCAAACATTAACATTGTTCATGTTCCAGTGCTGTATATGCAGTCCTTGTTGGGGTCAATGACATCCTGTAATCTTTTCAGAACCCATGGGCCCTGCCCTCACTACCCGAGCCTCATTGTAATCATGCATTTAGTCAGGTTCAAAGAAAAATATTGTCAGCCCAGGTACGTGTGGGCACCAGGGATTTGGCCTCTCCTACACTGCATAATACATTTTTTTATCAAAGACTGAGTACAGCTTTCCAGGAGCTGCCTGCGGTGTCTGGTGTTTTTTTTCGGAGAGGAAAGGGGTTTTACAAAGTTGTCACATTAGATTACACAGCTAGGGGAAAAATGATATGGAGAAAACATTTCTAGCTAGTAAGTATAATGAGAGTCAGCTGAAAATGTGAGGACACTGGAGAATTAGGTCAGCATAAACCTGTAGGAGAGAAATTCCTTTTGGTTCCTGCACTGTACTGCATAGCCAGGCGAATGCTGGTGTGGGAATCACAGAATTTTCCTTCCACAAAACTTTACTTTCCTAGTGTATCTTTCAACACTAGGACTGCACAGTCCTACCCCTTTTACAGCTTTTCATTGAAGCAGAGCTCACTGTGATTTAATTAAACCCCTAATTGAAGTAATAACTAGCTTAATTGTATTGTTTTCAGCTTCTTAAGAAGTTACTGATTTCTTGCAAGGGTTACTTGCAAGACTTTGTAGCCAAATTAGAACTCTTCAGTGGTGTGAGTGCTGCACACAATTGAAATGGTCTAATTAATTAAGGTAAGAGCTCAATTAAGGGTTCAGTGAAGTCAATGAGAGCTCAGCTGCAATGAAAACAGTGGGATCACAAGGACTGAAAAGGAGAAGAATGTTATAAAAAGAATCCTTCACAACATTTAATTGGTGGAATATATAATGGAACTGCACTGGGATTTGCAAAGTACTCTTCATGTAATTAGCTGTTATGTCAAGAAAGTTTTTTTTGTGTTTTTCACTTGAAATGAAGCAGTAGCACAAAAAAACTAATTATTGCTGTGAAATGTGCTAACACAACATACCATAATCCAAGGGTCTCCAACCCTAGTCCCAGAGTACTCCCATTTAGCAGGTTGTACAGGTAGGAAACCCATCAATTTCTAAAGATTTCAAAATATCTGGACGTAATCAATTTAACAAGAGATTTGCTAAGTTAAGTAATTTAGAGGTCATCTGAAACTAAAATCTGAATACTCTTCACTGTAAAGGACCACAGTTTTCAGATTTCTTGGATGATTAATCAGTAACTTACAAGTGCTACCAGTCTTAAGTTGCCCTATAAGACTCCCTGGATGAGGGTGTTTTTTATGATGGAATCAAGTTTCCCCTTATGATGGTTTCACCTGTGCAGGAATGTGTCCCTCTTTATTGACACTGCGAGTGGAAAACAATAAAGAGTTTTTAAACAAGAAATAAGCTAAATGTTCGCATTTGATAAATGATTAAACCTTTCGCCATGCTGTAACACAAACTTCTTCCACATTCATCAGGAATTTCACAACCGGTGTTATTTTAAATCAAAACAATTCCCCCTTTGTGTCATCTCTAATATACCATAACTTGATCATTTCTTGAGTAGGTGAGAGACCAACAGCAGAAGTGATTGTGTGTGCACAGAGAGCAGAAGTGTGGAGCTTGCATTACTGCGTCTGCTGATTAATCAGGTGCAACTGAGGATGTCATTGAGGTCTATAAGATGCACGTGCAGCTGACTAGAGGATGCAGAACTTGAGCAAACAGAAGTCCGTTTGACACCGGGTTTCAGTTATGGATTACTGACTTTCAATGCTACATGGCTCACTCTGGCCTCTCCTCTCTCCTTCTCCTGTGTAGGCCAGCTGGCAGTGGGGACGTGTGAGATCGTGATGCTGAACCGGGACAGCAGCCAGCCGCGAAGGACCATTGCCCGGCAGACTGCGCGCTGTGCCTGCCGGAGGGGGCAGATTGCGGGCACCACTCGGGCCAGACCGGCGTGTGTAGACGGTACCTATCCCTTATTTTTTTTTACTAAAAAGAAAGAACAAAGCCATGCACACAATTAGGGAATACCTTGCCCTTTTCATATTCGAGTGAGTGGCCACGACAAAATACAACCAAAAATTTGACAAAATACAAAGCACAAAAATGATAGGCAATAAGACCTAGCGGCTCACCCCTGTGCACTTTGAGAATGGCAGCTTCAGTGCTGTGGCTGTTATCCTGCAATCACTGCTTGAATGATGGCAAGTGATTATAATAAGTAATATGGTTTTAGCCAGTGCCTGTATCTGAAGTTAGTGTGTTTACAGAGACTTGGGAAGACTTCTGATCCTTAGGCCCAGAATCCAGCAGATGTTCAGTATGGATTTAAATTGTCGACACGTTGTAAAGGTAATGGGGAGGGGATTTATTGGTTCAGTTAAGCCTCAGTTTAATCAATTTAAACATTTTCTTAGTTATATGGCTGATTAAAATTTAAAAGCATCAAAAGGATTCTGAATCCCTAGTTCTGGTGCTCAGAGTCCTAGGACTAAGGTGTACTCTGCTGTATGCACCAACAATTGATGTGACAGCGTTACACAGTGCAGGACATTAGTTCACACCCTCATCAGAAGGATAAAGCATTTCTTCAATACTCTTGGAGTGGCACACTATGAGTCAGTGGCAGAGCTTAGACCTGAACTGGGAACCTCTTGCTAATAATCCATTGACCTTGTCACTGAACCCCTCAGCTTGCTAAAAATAAGCGACCATCTTATTTTTTTTATGTCAGTGTCGAACAAACTGCGTTGTCTCATTAAGCAACCAAGCATGTGTGTGTCCTGTTACAAAATGACCTGTGCTGATGAGGAGCACATTTTTGTTGCAATAACAAGACCCTTTGTTTAAATGAATAATATAATACACCCTCACTGGTGATTAAATAGTGTTAAGTGTCTGTTGAATGCCTTTCGTTCTTTTTCAGTGTGATCCACTGTAAGAGAGTATGACCTGCACCCTGCACAGCAGAGCCCCAGTACAATAATACATTTTGATTGGCAGACGTAGAAGGTTATGAACCCGGCTCAACAGGCCAGTGGGAATCAGAGAGCATTTAAGCCCTGCTGGGCATGAAGCTAAAAAAAAATCTTGCAAGCTAATTAACAGGAGAGTCTGTAATTACATCTGTGGGGAATTATTTTATTGGCTTTCTCCTGCTGCTCTCGGTCCATTAATAGTGGGAGTTCATTAAAACTGAACTTCTGTGCTCAGAGGCAGAGAAAAGTGGGTCTCTTTATAAAAGCTGCTAAAAATACTCCCATCCTGAAATCGTTTTAAAAGTCCTCTGTTTTGTGTGTAGATCTCCAGTTCAAAAAAAGTGTGTAAACCAGCTCCCTGACTGCAGTTGTTCCATTCATCCATCTGTGATCAGAAAGGCCCCTTACTGTAGAGCCTATCCCAGAAGCACAGGGTGCAAGGTAGCACCACGCTGAGCAGGATGCCAGTCCATTGCAAGGCTCACACATTTTAGAGTGACAATTTAGAGAGACCAATTAACCTGTTCAGTAAGTTTGTGGAAGGTGGGAGGCACCCATTTAAAACCAATAGGTGAATTCCAGGGGGCAGTGATTCCAGACAAGATGGAAATACTTGTCTGGAGTCACTGCATTCTCACACAAAGAGAACATGCAAATTCCATATAGAATGCACACTAGCCCATAATTTAACCCAGGAATACAGAGGTATGAGGCAGCGGTTCTTACCACTATGAGAGACTGAGCTGTAACATAATTACTACAAGAAAGACCGTAACTGACCGTAAGTCATACATCAGCTGATAGAGCATATAGCTGCGGTGCGTTTTCTGCTTGCACACTGCTGTGACATTGAACGTCATTAGCATGCATGGGCACCGCAGTATGTAAAAGGAGGAAACTTGCTGGTTATCCTGCCTGTCGTTGGTGTCTCTTCCCAAACTTGTCACTCACTCTGTCAACGCTAATGATTGCACTATAATGAAGCCTAGCAGGCTGAAGAAAGGGAGACGGCCTTAGATCCAGTAGCTTGGAAGTCTGAGTGACATAAAGGAGAGAAGCAAGACAGGCTGCAGTTAAATCTGCGATGCAGATTAAACAATTTACCCAGCTGTGTTAGACTTCGCCATACAGGAGTAGTATATACAGCACCAGCTGTGAGTGTTCCTGTGATTTCGTTGTTAATGTTGAATATCCTTTTCTATTTGTTTTGCCCGGTTCTCTGCTGCTGTACCTGCTGTGTTGGTTACTGTATGTGCTGCATTCCATTCTGTCGTCTTCCTGGAGGCCAATACTCACGCACCCAAAGACAGGGTTCTCTTTCTGAAGGGCTACCGAATACCACACAGCAGCTGTATGCTTCCCCCTGCACGGTTCCTTGTGATTAAGATGAAATAAACATTTAGAAACGGGAAATGATCCATATTTGACTTCATCGCTGCCTCAACAATAAATAAAGGAAGAAATATTTATAAACAGCGTGCAGCATTAAGTGAGGTTTTAGGACAGCAGCGTTTAACACAGAAATGGTCTATTTTCATTGACGTTCTTTGCCTTGGTTTATCACAATTCATTCAGGAAATCTTTCTTTTTTTTAAGTGTTAATGTATGTGTCTGCTTCTCTCTGCAATGGAAAATCAAATTCTACATCGCTGAAGGGCGTGGACAGTTGGCAGAGGACTCCAAGTGAGGTCAAGCCAATAGTGACCGAGCCGTGCCTGTGCTGGTCTCTCAGACTCCAGTGGAGGAGGTCAGTGGGTGGGGTGATTGCCCAGGTGTGTCCAGTTTGTCCCAGATGTGAAATTCTCAGAATAGGCACCTGGAAGGAGCAGTGAGAGCACATGTAAACAGATCAGGCACCACAGTGCCTTCAGAGGGGTGTGCAGCAGGTGGCTGAACCTTTCTAGCCTGTTCCTAGCACACCTGATCACCTGTGGGACTGTCTGTCTTTCTTCTAAAGGAGTCTGACAGAGATGAAGTGGCACTGGCACTGCTTGGGCAGCGGTTTAATGAATGGCATAAACTGAAAGAAAAGGGCAAGTGTAGTTAACTACCTCAGCCACACAAACTGTGGGCCTTGGTGTGATTAAAAATGGTCTTCACACAAAAAATGGGGATCCTGGAGAAGACAATGACCTCGCAAAGAGGACCACCATCATGGGTGTCCATGTAATCCAACATGGACACATGAGTGAGTGTACTGTATGTAGCACCCCCTGTTTGTGCTATCATTGTCCTTGGAAACACTTCTGTTATGGTCTCATGAGTATCTTTACTAAATCTTTTTGCTCCATTGAGCAGTTCTCATTATGCAGCATTATATATTCGAATAGGCCCTTAACTTTATTAAAACTCTGTATATTCTGTACAGAGCCCTGTTACATGAAAATCAACTCCCCCATTATATAATGCAGTTATTTTTTGTTTTCCTATCCCATCAGTGTGTACCAAGATCTAGCTGACAGGCACCTGTTATGGTTGCAGTCTTCCTGATTTCTGCCTGATGTGACACACCAATTTTTCTCGTTGGCTAAGGCTGCTCATTTCAATATGGCAGGGATCTTTGTATAAACCTGCCAGAAGAAAAAAAACTCCTGACCCCATGGAGACATGGAGACATTGAACCTGCAAGCTTTGTATAGGAAAAATCAAATGGTAGAAAAAGTAATTTTCCAGTTTCTAAACCAATATGGAATAGCCTTCTTTAGCAGTTGTTATAAGGTGAGCATTTGTCTTCCTTCAGTCAGCCCCTCCTTGCATTATGAGACACCTGTTCTTCCTGGTGACAGACACTGCGTACCTGGAGCCTATCCTGTAAGCACAGATTGCAATGCAGGACTGAGAGTCCAGTCTGTGGGAGAAAACAGCCACTCAGAGAAGCCCCTGTATGAAGCTGGGGAGAACATGCAAACTCCACACACAAGGCACCCTGGCCAAAATCAGGACCCAGGAGCTGTGAGGCAGCAGTGCTAGCCAACACATCACTTCTTCGTCTTCCTTCAAAGGGAATATTTAAGTTGGGATTGTGGTGGTGTTCTCTTGCATTTTTGTATGTTCCCAAGACACTTGTAGAAAAATGCAATCTCTTATAATGGACATGAACATTGATTTTTTTTCTTGAAAACAAATGTGGTTTCTGGTCTACTGTTAATTGTACACATGGGGATACTGTATTTAAAGGAAATCAAAAAGGAATCTTATTTTATACCATGGGATACAGACCTCTCCTTGGCTTCAAGAAATAACCCACTGGATATTTAATATATTTTAAGAACACAAGAAAGGTTACAAACGACAGGAGACCAATTCGACCAACCTTCTCATTTGTTAGTTAGCAGTTAATTGATCTGCAGATCTCATCCAACCATTTCTTGAAAGAAAGTATTGGCTTCAGCAACATGACTGTGTAGCTGGTTCCAGACTCCCACAGTTCTTTAGGTAAAAGGAACAACGTTTTTTTTTAAACGCACTTACAAATAATCAAACCAGTCGTTTACCTGGAACAGCATTTTCTAAACCTTGAAAAACAGGTGGCATGTACTGTTCTTTAAAAGTAAAGGAGGCTATGGATGTGTTTTGTGTCTGAACAGGGTAGCTCTTCTGAATATTATTGCTTTGTAAAATTCGTGAAAGTTTATCACTTGCTGACACTGAGACCTCCCCGTCTTTCCTCAATTTACCAGGAGACCACTACAAAGGAGGTTCTTTCAGTTTTAGCGTGATTGTTCTATATGCTGAAATAAAGAAAAAGGGCAGAAGAAAATTAATTTGAGTTTTCAGATTCACTTTGAAGAGCTGATCAGGTGCGAGATCAAAGCCAGGCGTCAGAATGTCGTTTTTAGAAGCAGCCCTGGGGTGGATGAAAAGGGAAAGGTGGAAAGATAGTTTGGACGGACCTGCTTTGCGCGGTTTCTATGAGGGCTTACCTTACATCTCCGAGCTCAGCGAGCATAAATAAAATTTGATTGTTATTATTTATCAAGCATTTGATCTTGGGTTTCAACAGTCTCAGTCATGACGCTTCACTTCGCCTTTACCGTGATATGACTGCAGAAAACATCGATAAGTATCGACAGCATCTTTTTTCCCCCCCACCCGGTTTTTATAATGGCTCTTCATCTTTTCTGCTGCTCTGTTCTCCTCCCCCTCTCTGTTCGGCCTTGCCTCATATGCACCAGCTGTTGCCGCCACAGCTCTGCATCATTAAGCTGGGAGGCGCAAGGCCCAGGGTAGTGAGAGAAAATACTTCAGTTTATCGGCATGAACTTATTACCGGAGTCGGCCATAATCGCTCGCCGGCTGATGAATTCCGTGTTCCTGTCAGCGGCCCTGATGACTTATATTCAAGAGTTAGGCTAGAGTGAAGCCGAAAATGGAGATGTTAATGAAAAATCTAATTCGCCTGAGCTAAAGTCTAGCGTTCAGCCTATTTAAAGCTGGTGGTTATGTATTTGATTATGTGGTGGTTTGAAGACAATGCATACTGGCACTTTACGGCCTGCAGTTTCTGTTTGATTTTTTTAACAAGGCACATTACAAAAACATTATACATATACAATATCATTCTTATTTCCATCACACATACTGTGATATCTTCTTGCTCTTAAAAACATGTGACTGAAAAGAGTTCTTTGTAAGAATGTTATGCACAGTACGTTGCTGTTTGACCCTTCCATTCTGTAATAATTTTGTCGGTTGATTAAATCCTTCCATGATATTGTGATATTGGAACACAAAAAAGCGGTCCAGTCTGAAAGCGAAAAAATGCAGATGCACCTGATCCGAACCATTGGAGGAACACAGTTAAACACCTTTTACAGTACATTAAATTAGTAAGAAGCGTTAGCCATTATGTTTGTGGATTTAAGAGGTAAAATACAGAGCCTGACAGGCTAGATTAGCAGTTCACAGAGTTGGAGCACATCGCAAGGCAGATGGTCTTGTGCAAGACATCTGCTTGTATCTGTACACTGCATGTTCTTTACATTCCCCTGCATATTTTACAAAATGTTCATCACCGTAACACTCGTTACTTCAGGTACTGTGTTTACTGAAACAATAACATTTTAGTGTGTTGAGTTTTAATTTGCCATATGGCTGAGAAATGCAATGCAATTAAGTGTATTTCCCCAGCGAAAGTAAGGAAGAAGTCTGGGACCACACAGTGCTTGTTCCACTCTGCTAATGTAGACTTTGCTCTATGGTCTATGATGACAGGAGCCTTCCTCTGCACTTAGTGTAACAAGCACGTCTTGGCTACATGGCGAGACACAATCAACGGTCGAGTGGGTTTTCTGTGAACCATTCCATTGCCATGTCACAGTTTTTGGCTAATGTACTGTATGGATTTTGTTTTCTGTAAATTATGTTGGCTGTGAAGAAATCAACAGCAGCCAATATTAAGCTGCAGAGGTGCTCAGTGGGTTTATGGCAAGGGATTGTCAGCACAAGGTTCCGGCCTCTAACTGGTGCCCTCTCTGCCCCCTGTTTGCAGCACGGATAGTGAAGAATAAGCAGTGGTGCGAGATGGCGCCATGCTCAGAGGGCGAGATCTGCGGGCTGCTGATGAACCGCTCTGGTTGGACGTGCACCAAGGGGGGTGGAAGGATAAAGACAGTCACGGTAAGATGGATTCCTGCAGTGGGATAGTCAGGGTGGGAGAGAGCTTCCTGGGTGAAAGTCCTTATATCCAACACAACAGTCAGCCCTACAACTATATTCAGTTCTATAGCACAGGAGCCCTCTTAAACTCAGAGGGTTTAGCACATGGTCGTGACAAAACACTAATCACAAAACCAAGCTCACACAAACAACTCTTTATCTCATATTCATGCACGGGATTGGGGGGGGTAACCTGTTCCAGTTTGGCTGAGATAAATCACAGGATTGTACAAAGAACTGTGAGCTCCATGGATTCACAAAGATATTCTCTTTTAATCATACACAGAGAGGCTCTTTATATTGCAGAGTAAAACTTATTTTCTGCCACATTAAATTTACAGCACCTTGTATTTGTAAAAGGAAAAGCAGACTGTCAGTACTACATACACAAAAAGAAACATACTGTATACTGTACTGTGAAATTACTTCTAGGAATCTTAAATGAGTTTTGTGATGCCTGACAAGTTCAAAGTGTTGTTTTCCTCTTAGGATGAAAAAAAAAAACAGGTGTACACTCAAAGCACACTTAAATGTTTTATGAGCATGTCGGATAGATGCACAAAATGGGTTTATTTGAAATGAATTAAGATAAATTCTATTAACTTGTTTATATCATGCACTTACATTTTACCTTGACATGATTTGAATCATGCCTAGTGATACTTTATGCAATGTTGTTGTGCTTAAAAAAAGTTCCATTGGTATACAACATCAGTTTTTATAAAGGTACTCAGCGTGTGGAAGCTAAGGCTCATGTACTGTATCTAATGTTTGGTCTCCTGGTGACTTGGCTGTATTTTGCCGTATTTTAGCTCTAACTGAATGCATGTTATAGCTCTTGTCCGGAGGCTCTCTTGGTAAAGATAAATGACTTGTCTCAAGGGAAATCTTCACCATCTGAGTTGTTTAAAGATTATTTTTCAGAGTCTGTCTTTAGGAAAGCAATACATGATGACCTGCAGTATGCTGCCTTAGACTGGAAATACAGAGGTCTTGAAAGTCCAGAAGGCTTTTTTTTACAAAAAGACAGGCTGTAAATATCTGGAGTGAAATTACGTTGAGCCAAATTGCTTACAATAAACATAAAAATAGAGACCAAAATGTTTCACTGGATTCCTGGAATGGTTTGGGGTTAATGTGGTCAGCTGCTGTACTTAGGCAAATGTTTCTGAGATTTTGAAAAACCCTTTTTTAAAACTGTTTCCCAGTCCTGTTTAATAACATGATTTTGCATAATGGTTTTACAACATTATTTTTCTTCATTTTGGAGTCACTTGCCTTGCTTTCAACATGCTTCCTTGGGGTGTTTCTTACTGTCTTTTTTTATTTTGAATTGGAACACTAAACTGCAACAATCCCATGATTTACCACGGGTAAACCCTTACCATAGTTAGTCTGTTGTAGTAACATGCAGTTGAAATGATGGTAAATGACTCACATTTTGAGTGGAGAAAAAGGCATGAGAAATATTGTTCAAACTCAATTGCCTTTCTAAGGAAACCCACCTTTCAGAGCATTTAAGCAACCACCACTCCATGCAATTATTTCATGATTTCAGGCCTAGCTCCAAGCCAGGCGTGCCCTAGCTATCTAATGTAACCTCTACTAAGTGTGCTGCATACCTGTTTATCAGACTAGAACATTTTTCGTATAATTTGTTTTCTTTATTTTTTTGCATTGAGATGCAGGGGAAGAAAAACTCCTCTAATACATGAAGTTTTACCATGGACCGAAGAGGGTTTTACATCCTTTTCCTAAAAAAAACAGCAAAACAATATTACTAACGATGCAGTGTGACATGTTCCTGTGTCTTGGTCTCAGTTATTGAGCCTTATGCCGCACACACTGGATCAGAAGCTATGCCATGGTGTACAAAGAAAAAACTATCATTACTGGAATATGAAAGAACTTTATAATCCTTCCATTGAAACTCACTCATTTTGTGTCTAATAATAACAAAAATATATCATATCTGGGATAGGTTCCGGCTCCTCCCGATACTGTATTGGATATAGCAGTTAGAAAAAGGATGGATGGATAAAAATATATCACTGCATAACTAGACAGGTGTTAGAACATTGTTCCTATTGTCTCATTCTTTTCAGAGCAAGGTTGTTCACTGGCAGGTTGTTCCAGAGCTTGCTGCTTCCTCCAGCTCTGGTTGAAATTATTCGGCACCCTTCGAACGACCGGGGTCACAGTCTCCGTCTGCTTAGCTGAAAAGCTGGAAATATAACAGTGCAGGTTTTCAGATCTTCTGTCATGTTCCCTTTCTCCAGTATCTACTCTTGCTAATGAGCTTCCTTCCAAGGGATATCTCTTGGAGTGTGTCGATGTGCTGTATTATTCCTGGTCTGCACTGTTTGGGTGCAAGCGCCCCAGGATGAAATGAGCTCTGACTTGCTCATTTCTTTTTTCAGTTTTTGAGCAGATTTTATATTTGTTTGACCTGTAGCTTTACACATCCAAAAAAGAAAAGCAAGAATAACCTCTGTACTTGTTATTTGACTATTTCCAAATGTAAGACTTTTTTTTGTGGAAGGTTGTTATTATTACATAATTTTTTAACAATTAGAAAAGGAACTGAAGCCGACATCTGTCCTTAACGCTTCTTAATCACAGTCAGTCGACATTGAAATTAATGGGTAAGAATTGTAATCATGTTTTATTTTAATTGAATTAATGAATAATGATTTTTCTTTGGGTTGGCACTTTGATTCCCTGATTCAGAAATTCAAAAGCAGCATTATGGGTGGAAGGCGGGGGGGGGGTCTTGAGTGTTATCAGATGTGTGTCTGGGACAGTAAAATACTGCCTTGTGCAGCTGTGGCCAAGTGTATGTGAGTATGAAAGTGAGGATGGGGGACTGTGTACTTGTGTTGTATACTTGCAGGCAGTGGGAGAGACTGGGCCAAGAATTTCAACAATCCTCAGCTGCACGGTCGTAGCTGGCTCCTGAAAAGCAATGCACAGCAGATCAATAACCAGAAGACTCGTCTTTGTAGCATGCTGTCAGGCCCCTGAGACATGACAATTATAAATCCTGTTGTGCTAAGGCAGAGAGCAGGCAGCACCATACTGTCAGGGATATGGGAACACAGCACCCCTGATCACTGGGATCCTCTCCTCAGGGCCCTCTGCCCTTGTTGACAGGTGGCTCCTGTACAGCTGTTTCCACACTGACATATTGGAAGAAGCTGTGTACGGGAGGTCATGCAGAAGACATGTGTGTCAAGTCATGCATCTGGCATTATCCATAGGAATTTAGCCCCATGCTCATCTTTAATTTATGTTTTTATATTTCAGCTAATGATAATGTCTAACATTGTAAATGGTTTACAAAGTCCACCATGTGTCAAAATCACATAGCTGTCCAGTTAGGTTTTGTTAGTTTAATAAGTGACTTTTATATGTTAGTGTAAGAATATGGAACCAGGGATTTCGCAAAATCTCTAAATATTTTACTAAATGTCAAAGAGTTAGATATTTCAGCTTTTATGTTTTCACTGATTCATACAGTACATATATTTCTCTAGAATAAAATTTGTTGTCAAGACAATGAGATACTGTATGTACAGGTATCTGGGGAACAACCGAGTAAAATATAGAACAGACACACTAGTAGCAGTAGCTTGGATTTGAGTGTCATACAGGGCCTGTCACAGATGTTCATGGAAAATGTGGATGTTTATACTAGTTGTGTAGGATCAATATATACAGAGGTTCAGCAAAGAATCCTGGGTGACTCTCTCTAGCCGGGATTAAACACATGCTGAAGATCATGATAATTATATAAATATACTGTATATAAATAAAATATATAATACATATAAAATACATAAATAAAAAGAGAGTGTATTGGAAAAGAAAGAGAAATTGGTAAGGGATATTATTGGCCTCAGAGGATGAAGGTATTGATTTTCTATATGCAGATATGGAGTTGGTTGTTTGTCTTTTTAAAAAATCAATGTCATGGATTTAAAAAGGCTTTGGTGAATATTGTCTTAATCATGCAACATTCGTCTACTCCCTCACTCCCCTTTCCTTGCGTTTCTGCATTTATTGGACAGTAAGAGGTCCCAGTCCCAGACCCAGGGCTGAGCGATAGCAAGGGGGAACATCCTGAGTGGTGCGATCGATACTGCAACAGTCCGACACTAGAAAGAGGAGCGCAGCTGAAGTTCAGATTTCACCACTGCATGTTCGTCATCCTTGGCTACGAAAATGCTGGAACATAGCAGTAGTGATACAAAATGGGGGTTCTGGTAGCAAGTATCTGGAGAGTGCTCTGTAAGTATTACCATCCGAACGTAGAGGAGGGTGGGACTATCCATTCAGTCTCTCTGTTTAAGGCACAAATTGTGTATCCGGCCCAGACATGCGTGGCATGCTTCGGCCTTTCCATGATATTTCAGTGCCTTTTTTATTTTTGAATGGATTTTATAACGAAAGTTGGGGATATATGACAACAGCCAAGTTCAATCAGACTCAGCTGGTAGTAATTAGCCATCGCTCCTGACAATCCATTCCTCTCCCAAACGCTAGAAATACCTACATATCCCTATCTCTCTCTCTTGCATGTCTCTTGCATCCCACCTCCACCCCATCCCCACCTCTGCAGCTGCCCCTTCGTCATCCTGCATGGGGGTCCTGGTCTCCTTGTCCTGTGGCCGGGAGGCCAGCCCTCAGCCAAGCGGGTTAAGCCACAATTTCACTCCATGACGCTTTTGTCTTGGGTGTGTCATTCCAAGTGAACTCAGTAAATTTTAACTCAATGAATGGAAATGGAAGGGTATATTCTGAGAAAGCAAAATTGCTCCTTTCTCATCGAAGACATTGTTGGACACTGGCTGTGCATTTTTTTCCTTTTTTTATGTTTCTGTTTATGTGTTTAAATATTTTTCTTTTAAATTAGGCTTCTATTTTACAAGTTGGAGTCACAGAAAATTGGAATCTGGCAG